TATATCATTCATTTTAATAAAAATTTTGATGTATTAAAGTGAAGTGTTTTACTCTACTTTTATCTACTATAATTTATACTATGTCATTGATGATGGTTATTAATAATTTGAATCAAAAATTGTCACTATTCACAATATGAAATAAAAAGTTAAAAATTTGTTTCCTTCATATATATATTATATATACATGATTATATAATATATATTATATATATGTAAATATTATGTATATCATGTACATATATATAATATAGAATTTTTAAGAATTTTTATTTCAGATATAAAATTTTCGAGAAATTATTTTTTTAAATTCATTTTAAATTCGAAACTTTTATTCATTAATAATAATTATAATAAAATAACATTGTAAATATAAAAAATTTACGTACATTATTATATTTGTTATAAAAAGCATTAAAACTTCATTACAATCTCTATCATTTTTTTCAAAAGTTTATTATTTTCAAAAAAAACATTAATCCAATTCAAGCGAAACATGAGAGGCTATAAAGCTTTATAAGTTTATCCTCTTTCTCGTAAAAACTATTTCTGCCTTACTAAGGTTTATTGCAAGTACTTGAGATCCGTACCATTCTTTTATTCTTCTCAAAATAAAAAAATATCTCTTTATTGAAATTGCTATATCATCTACATAACTTGCAGCGAAGCTTCCTATAGTTATCCTTTTCACCAGAATTCAAAATGAGAATAATCTTTAATCTCAAAGTGCTAATTCCATTGGATTAAATATTGAATCATAATTATACATAGTTTTTCAGTACAATTAATTTTTTATTTAATATATAATAGTAATTTTTAATAATAATTAATAATCCAAAATAACAATTCTTTCTAATTCTGATATTTTGTTGATACTTTTATGTCTGTTTATTAATTATGTTTATTTAATCTTAATTATATTTATTTAATTTTTTTATTGTTTGTTCAATTACAAACACTAATTTAGTTTATCAATACAACAACTAACTTGTATGAAAGCGATCAATAAATTGATTCAACAACCCATTCATGCTGTGACTTACGAGCATTCTGGCTTCCAACTAAATTCAATACTATTCCAAATCCCAAATATACATTTTGTATCCATCGATATCATGAACGGAAAACAAATTACAAAATATTTATACTTTTAAGAGAGGTTAATGTTAACAAAATATTTGAGATTAGTATATTCGTAGAATATCTTTGAAGAATCGATTTTAAAAGCCAAAACAAACACAAAATATTTTTGATATACAAAAATATTGATTGAGATTTATTTATGAAATTATAAGTAATTGATAATTGATTATGTATAACATTATTGATTATGTATAACAAAGCAACATTTCAATTAGTTTTATTCATATTTATGACAGAGAATTAAATACTAATAAACATCAAGAAAATTAAGAAATATTAGGAATCATATATAAACTTCATTTTTTTTTTATTCTATTTTTATTTTATTCTAAATAATGATTCTTAGAGGTATTTTATACATTAATTTAATTTTTTAATTGTAAATTAAATTATAAATTTAACATATAAAAGACAAGGAAAACAATATTCTCATATTTATTTTTTTATTTAATGTTTTATATAGTAAATTTTATAAAAAATAAATAGTAATATTGTATAAACTAATAAATAATTAATAATGATAATAATAAATAAATAATATATATGATAAATAATTATAATATATGTTTATTTATTATTAATGATGAGTATTTTGATATTACACAAATAATTCATATAATCAAATATTAAAGAAATATAAGAAATATTATGTCAGAATATACATATGTCACAATATATATACATATATTAATATTAATATAAATTATTACATATAAAAAAAAACAAGATAATATCTTCCAAAAAATATAATTAAAAATTATTATTAAAAAAATTTATATATCACAAATTTATACAGTATTTAATATGATATAATCTTTTCAATAATATGATAAAATAAAAAAACTTTTCAATAATATAATTATTATATATATAAATATAAATAATTTATATATATATATAAATAATAATTAAAAAAATAATTTCACATATTAATTAGATATGAAACAAGATTTTTAAATATAAAATGATGTCCTAAGTTGCAACTTGAACTTGTATAATATTGTAAGATAATACTCTACATACTATATATACCCTACACTATATTATTATATTAAATAATTGAATAATATATATTTTTCTTATCACATAATGTGTTAAAATATTCATAGTTAAAATATTGAAAATATTAAAATAATGTACTGCAACATATAAACTTAAATAATAATATTTAAAATAAAAAATACAAATATTTATATTTCCTTATTTCTGTTACATATAATTAATTTGAAATATTATTTCAATTATAATTCGTTTTTATATTTAAATAGAATACTATTTTAAATAATTATTTTTAATATGTCTTGAAAAATTATTACTTCAATTAATGATTATATTTATTATATTTGAAATAAATTTTTTAATAAATTAATTAATTTAATATAAATCTTTAAATATTATTGTATTTCAATTAGTAAATAATTATTTTCTTTTTAAAATCCAATATTTTTAATATATTAACATTACGAAGCACAAAGACATAATGTGATTTGAAAACAATTTAAAATATAAATATAATCAATATTTTTTTACATTCTAATATCATTCTAAGCAAAAATAAAATTTAATTTTTATTGTTAAATTAACAATTTAAAAACATCATATACAAAAATTTTCAAAGCAATTTTAATATATTATTATATAATGATCATTAAATATGATTTTTATAGTCTATATAACTTGAAATTAATTTACTATTATTAATTAATCGAACTATTTTATATTTATTTATTATACGTATTATATATTTTTAGTTATTATTATGAAAATTTAAAAATTAATATTTTAATAATTGTAAAAATAAATTATGAAATCTAGTTTGGATACATAGAATGTTATACATGAATGTTATCCAATGGTTTGATTCAACCAAGGAAATTTTTAGTTTATATACATTCTATTCGTGTTCTGCGAAGCGAATACGAATAATATATTACCCCTATATATATATCAACTGAATTACGTACATTCATCCTTTTTTTAATTGAATAGTTCAAATGACATCTCAGCAAAAATTTGTCAACAATTTTTCTTCACTTTCCATCGAGAATCCTCTTCAATAACAGATATTTGTAGTATTATACAGATATATAAAAATATATTATACTTGAATTATAATAAATTTTAAAATAACAAAACAACAAAAGAAAACTTGTTTTTAATAAAATAAGTGTATTAATATTGATTAATCAATTTTAATTAACAATTTTTAAATTTGATCTCAATGTTTTTAATTTATTCATTTTTATTTATAATAAATTGTATAAAATTTTTATTCATAATAAATTATATAAAATTATTATAAAATGTTGTATTAGAAATATATATAATTCATCATGAAATATGAAATAATTTAAATAGATTATTTCAAATTTTTTAAAAATGAAATATTTTTATTTTTCATATCAAAATGTTTCGTTAATGTTTTTTTAAAATGAAATAAATTGAATTCAATGTAAAATACGAATATACAGACCATTCCAATTAAATGAGACATTTAAATATGTATATATATTATTATATTATAATATATATATTATCTATATTATTATATTATACTAAATATGTATATACACTTCCAAGTTCAATATTTTGGGAATACATAAAAAAGCAATAAAAATAGTAAAAAATTTCAAATAAAGTCAAATAATCAAAAATAATTATATATTAAATTTATTTATCAAAATACTTTTAGAAATATTAATATGAACTTGATTGATCTTTGTTATATATTACGAAAGAATAGATAATTATTTGCTTATTATTCAAATAAAAATTCTCTATTTTATATTCTATGTTAAAAACTCTTATTTTTAATTCATATCCAATCTTTAAGAAAAATTCTATAATCAGCAAACATAAATGAATGAAAAATCTTTTTAAAAAAGCAAGATTTTGCATTTTTTGTAATTTTTTATTTAATTATCATTTTCAAAGTACATACATTTAAATTCCTCTTAATTTCAAAATAATATATATATTTTTAAAAAATATATATTTATTTCTAGAAAAATATTGTTTGTGTTAATCTTAATATTAAAATTTAAAGTCTTTAAATTGATTTAAAAGTTATTATTATAATTTAATCTCTCTTTTTTTTTTGAAAACTGAATCTTTGTTTAATCGATAATTCAAATTCAGTTGTGTTAAATAATCGAAAATGTTTTATAGATTTTAAAAAAGAAATTTTCAAATTACAGTCATTTTTTCTTACGATGTATAAGGAAAATACTATTCTGTACTATACTGTGCTAAATTGGATCGTTTTTTTTTTTTTTGAAGATCATTATATTCTTTATTTTACCCTATATTCGTTCGTGTAGAAAGGTTAGCTTACGTTCAAAATAAGCATCAATTTTTAATTATCAATAACTAAGAAAGCAGAAAACGCAATTTTTTTTTATTCCCAATTTTCATCTTATTTTGATTTAAAAAATCATATCTTTTATAATACAATCAAATACAGAATACAAAAATACATAGATCATTCTAAAATTCTTTTCTTCAATCGAATGAATTATTAATGAAGAATTATCAAAAACCAATTCTACTGTATTCCTTCTATTAATATTAAATGTGATTTAATTTTTCTCCGGCGAAATTTCGCACGAATGACGTCATATTATCCCTATTGCCGCTGCTAAATTACATCATGACCACACTTCTATCAAATCCAAGCATCGTATCGTGTTATGTGACGTGTCTCTGTTTAATCTAACAGTAACAGTGGAGATAATGTAGCGTCACATATTTTCTTCGTACAGAAAAATTCCCCAGGAGAATTAAATCACGTTTAATGCTGGTAAAGTTTAATTAGGAACGAAATCGATATTTGATAAATCAATTTTCTTTGTTCGCAGAATCGGCGCACATTTTCGAAATGCAATATACTCTGCAACGATTATCCGACGGGACATGAATTGAACTATGCTTCGGGTCAAACGCGGCCGAGACAGAACAGCGTGTTCATTGGCTCCAGTACATCTTTGCTCCCAGGTGGTCAAGGTACACCGCGACGCACGAAAAGCGCGTTCGATCTCCAATTCTTGGTGTTTTCCGAGAACAATACCGTGCCGGATTCCTCCATTGAATCGGATACACAAAGAAACTTTAAACAGATCAGTGAATCCACGAAATTGTTGCAACGCGAGCGAAAGGCCAGCATCTGCCAAACATTGGACAGAGCCCCAGAAGCTAAGCCCTTGTTCCGGGATAGAGGGATGAGTATCTGTCAGCTCGATAGTTCCCCGAAATCGTGGCAACGAGATCGTGGGATGAGCATCTGCCAATTCGATAGGATGGATGTACTTGCCAGACCGCTTCAAAGAGATCGCGGAGGAAGTATCTGCCATTTTGACAGAATGGATGTATTGGCCAGACCGTTGCAAAGAGATCGCATAGGTAGCGCTTATCACTTTGACAGAACAGACGTTCTGGCCAGGCCTAATTTTTCCCTTGGCAAGTCGTTGCTGAAAGAGAGACGCGTCAGTATGTGTAACTTTTTGGAGAAGGACGAGGAAACTGTGAGGACTATTCAGATGGAACGGCGTTTGAGCAGCAGTAACATTGAGAAAATCGTAAAAGATGCATCGATCGAGGAAGCGAGGAATGAGCAGAGAGGAAAACAGGATATATTCGCTAAATGCATGTCCAAAGAAAAAAAAGATACCTCTTATCAATTGGATCAACCGTGTTGCAGCAAAACGGCCGACACTGTATTTGGATACAAGGCTACTTGTGTGTAATGTAAAATTATAATATGGATTTTATTATGAAAGAATAATTTTGCTATATATTTTCAAGGGAAAAACATTTTTGAGTTATATTACAAGAATGACATTCTTGACAATGATTTAATACGTATATAACAAATTAATTATATCTTCTGTGAATGTAAATTTCATCTCATGTAGTTCAAAGACAATGGGTATTTTTATAAATGCTTTCATATATAAACAAAAATGAGTGATCTTCTATAATAATATGTTGCTAATAATATCTTTCTTGTATGACAAAATCATATAAAATTATATTGTAATTATATTACAGTTTATTATATTGTCATATAAAATTATATTGATGAATGATTTTTTTTTTAATATCTTTATTTGTTACTATGAATTGTAAAATTAAATTATTTACTATATATTTAATTTATATATTAAAAATTTATTTAAAAATATATATTTTTAAAAATAAAATATTTTCTAAAATATCAAATATTATGTATATAAATAGAAGATAACTCAACTATTTATGAGCATACTTAGTTGGTTGAGTCACGAAGTTGCAAAGACAATACGCTACTTCCTCTATCACTAAACATGGCTCAATTTTACATAAGAATTTTTACATAAAAAGAATACATGGCATTATATTATCCTCACTATTGCAGAAGTATGTCACAATTTGTATCAAAACTAAGCATTGTCACGTGACATATCTCTGCCTAATTTAACAATAATAGTGAAGATAATATAACATCATATATTTTCTGTATTAGAGGAGAATTGAGCCCCTTCTAATGATAAAGGAAATAGCATATGGTAATCCTGTACATACATGTGATGCTCGCAGATAACCACTGATAATAAGAGTTACATATGTATGACGTGCAAATGATAATTTGAGAAATATAGAAAAATTTAATAAAATCCATTTTGAATAGTTAAGAATTATCATTATTTATCATCAAAAAAAAAATTACAATCTATAAATTCTCATGATTTTTTATAAAAGTGATTGTGTTTAATACAATAATTTCAAATTTAAGATTTCAATTCTGTAATAGTTTTAATGTTCACTTGTAGCCAAAAATGTCCATAATCCTTTGATTTAAACAAAAAAATATTATATTATATATATTGTGATTATTATTATTCTGCAAATAATGCAAATAAATTCAGTTTATTTATTATTTTTAACAAATGATACATTTAATTTTCAAAATTAAGTATGCATTATTTATATAAATATAAAAATGAAACAATATTATTAAGATTTTACAAAAATAGTAAAGAAAGATAATTTTAAATTTATGTAATTTTAATTTGATAAAAAAACAGATTGGTTGATAAATTATTCTAGTAAATGATTGAAATGTTCGGGCAATAGTTTAAAAATAATTTAAATAATATTTTAAATTAAAATTGTAGAAAAAAAGATGAATTATGATAAAAGATATTATGATGAAAAATTGAATTAGTATAAAGTTCAAAACAAAAATTCAGATTAAAGAAATAATTTTTTTTTGGATAAAACATCTTGAATTTTAATCATTGTAAAAAAAGATAAAGAAATATATTAATTGTAAAAAGAATTATATTTTTTTGTGAATGAATAATGCAATTAAGATAAAAATATTTCTTTAATAGTAAATAATTATAAATCACATCACTTCCTATATATTTTTTTTTTAGAAAAGAACATTTTTCTTTTTCTATTATTTTTGAAATAGAAATTAAACAAAACAAAAATTAAGTATTAATTAAGAATGTCAATAAAATTTATTTATAAAAATGAATTTTTTTACAATAAATTCAAGAAATAATTAATAGTAATTAATGAACAAAATATAAGAAAAACAAATAATTTTTATAAGTTTTATAAATTTTTTTAAAACAACAAATATACATATATGTATAAATATACATATGTATGCATATATGTACAAATATACATATACGTTATGAATATACACAATGTTATAATATTTTTTAATATATATACTTATATAAAAATTACTTTATAATTTAATATAATAATATAATGTCATAACTATTTATTAACCATTATTCATCATAAATTGTTCCAATTAATTATTAATTTAACAAATTTATAATTTTGATTATATAATTTTATTATCCTAATGTGATATAGATCTCTCGATAGACCTCTACAGAAAAATCGTTATAGATACAAATAAGATTTTGAATGAAAAAAAAGAGAGAAACAAATCTTCCCTACATTATATACAAGATTAAATACTTAGAAACTATAATATCAAAATAGATCTTTTCGCAAACTAAAATTTTTATTTTATTATAGTGAACGTAAATGGGTACAACTATGTTATTAAGCTGGTTTATATAAAATAATGAATTAGATAAGAAATTAAAATAATATCTAATCACGAATATTAATTTAAATTGAATCAGACAATTTTGAATTTATTTACGTAATGAGAAATTAATGATTCAAAAATGTTATTTTATTTTATTACTTTTATTTTATTTTTTTTAATGATAATAATAATTAAAATCAAATTATAGATATTGATTTAATACAATGTACTGATATATGGAATTATATTATGTTTCATGAATTAAATTTTGCCGAATTTGCAAAAAAAATACGACATCATATTGTTTCCATTGCTACATTAGACAAGCATGTGATCAGATTTTTGCCAATGACAAACGTCGCATCATATCATGTGATATAGCATTGTCTCAAATTTATTTTAAATATAGATTATTATATTTAATTTTCGACTGAATAATATTGTATTATTTGGTAAAACTTAATTTTATATACGAAAATAATGAAATATATAATAAATGAAAAATAAAATTTTTTTCACTGTGAAATTGGTTTACAAAAAAATAAAATTTGAAAATTTGAAAATGAAATAAATGGATACATGAATATTTGATTACATTTCTTCTATTTCGATTTTTCGAAGAGAAGAAATTTAAGAAAAAAATATTATTCTATACTTTCTTTTTTTTTTGCAATTATTAGAATATTTTTACTAATAATTTACACGTATTCAATTGAAACACATCATTTTGTATCTAATAAGTTTTCAAATTCGATTTTCTCGAAAATGAAGCTTCAAATGAATATTTTTATTTTTTGATTTTTTTTTTTTTTTTTTTTTTTTTTTACATGTCGAATCATCAGTTACTAGGAATCCAATATATTCTACAATTTTTTCTTAAATTTCAGATTAGTAAAAAACTGTAATAATTAATAATCTTCATCAGCAAATAAAATTTTATCTGCAAGATATAAATCATATTTTATTTATATTATATTATTTTTATCTATATTATATTATCTATATTATATAATCTATATTATATTATTTTTATTTGTTATCTATTTACATCTATTCTATAAAATACAATATATAAGGTTTGAAAAGTTGTTTACATTACTATAATAAATTAATATAATAAATAATAAATTTTTTTTTCATAAATTAAAAAGTCAATAATTTTAGATTTTGGATTTTAATTATAATTTCAAAAACAAAACTTTGTATAAATATTAATTCAAAAACGTCTGATTCAATGCAAAATAGTTTTATAAAAAAATATATTTTATGAAATATTATACTTAACTCTTTCGGTCATATATCATATTTTGTGCAAAAAAATTATCTCAATAAATTTACACAAAAAATTATTTGAAATTGTATAGTACCATGTACTGAATTTTGAAAAACATACGCGTTGTCAATGAAAAATGAAAATTTCATATTCTTTTCACTATTAAACCAAATATTTTCCGATACAAATACCGAAAGAGTTAAACCAGACCAGTGATAACATTGTAAGAAGTTAATAGATAAATTTGTAAAGAAAGATGCGAACTATTTTTTCAAGAATTACAATTCTTAGAGAATTCTTATAAGAATAGACAAGTAATATATACATACATATATATATATATATTATATATATATATATATATATATATATATACATATATTAACACATAATTATATAATAATTTTGGAGATTATTTAGATATAAAAAATATTCTGTCAAAAACGACGTTGGAATCAATAGAATAAAAATAACAATTACATTAAAAATATTTCAGAAAGAAAAGTTTAACTTAGTCAGTTATTTTACTGTTTTATAAATTGTTTTTGAAATGCTTATGTTACATGTATTTAAAATTATATCGTATATAATAAATTACGCAGAAAAACCATTGCAATTTATATGCCAGTTGCAAAGAAATATCTGCATTTTCAGTATTTTTTAAATAAAAATAAGATGTAAGAAGACGATTAGTTATAATTCATATTAGCAATTTAATAGACTGAAATTTTCATTTATTTTTCAAACTTTTATTCATTCCAATCATTGTCTATTTAAAAAATATTTTTTATTATCATTTCATTTCAAAAAATCAATGAAAACTTTTTAATTTATTAATATAACAAATTTATATAAACGATAGAACATATCAGATAAAATTATCGGACAAATCATTTCAAATAATGCATTTCTACTACTAATTTTAAAAATTCACATAAAAAATAATTTGTCAATGAGATATACAGGATATTGATATATTCATGAAATAATCTTTAAAGGATTGATTTTAAATCTTAAACAAAAATTGATATACAAAAATAGATTGAATTTTACTTATTAAATAACAATTTTAAATTTGTATTAGATGAAATAAAAATAAAAATAGAATGAAATAATAATACAAAAAAAAACAGAATAATCTCTCTCATTAATAAATCTTAATTGATATTTTTATATACCAACTTTTATATTTGTTTTAATCTTTAAAATCCATTCTTCAAAAATATTTCATGAATATATTAATATCTTCTATAAATGTATCGAGGAAATAGATGATCAAAATATAGATCCTTTGAATCGCACAGAATTATTTTAATAAAAATTATATTAATCAATGGGTTGGAAAGAAGACCAATTGCCTGATTTGTGAAATTCTCCTGATTATATCCTTTGAATTTTTATTTATAGAAAAATTTTAAGAATATAGTTTACAATAACAATATTATTGAATATATACATTATTAATAAATTATATATTGTGTATTATTACATAAATATTGTAGATATAAGTATTCCAATACTTATTGAAAACATTATTGAAAACACTAAAAAATCGAATTATTATTGAATGTGAAAAAACTAGAAATATAGAAATTTTTGAATATCTTCGACAGTTTTTAAAATATCAATATGAATTTATTTATTGCAGAATCATTTTCAACATGAATTTTTGTAAATTTTGAATATTTATAAAAAAATTTTTTACAAACATATTAGGAAGAGAAATAATTTTTAGATTTATGTTTTTATATGACATTTTCTTTATTCTTTCTCATTTTTTTATTTACAGTTGAATACGTATCAAAGTTTCTTTCATAAAGGCCATCTATTTTCTCGACACTTTATACTACTTATATATGTGACAATTCTACGAAGCGAAGATAACACGTATGGAAATATCAATTATGGAAAAAATAAAAATTTAAATCTTCATTTTTATTAATAATAATATCAAAGAAAAATTTTCATAGTATAATGAAAAAATTATCTATAATATTCAGAGAATAGTACATATATTATCATCAATTTAAAATAATAATTATCACATTACCTCAAAATGATTATTTTAAAAAATGAATCATTTATTCAAGACTTTAAATCATACAAATTACTTTCGATATTCAATCAAAATATAAATAATTCATGATAAATTAGAATTATTTTTCCACACGCATATTAATTTTTGTATACATATAATAAGCAAAGAGATGAAATAAATTTCTTTATCATATATTCATTCGTTTTTTATTTATTATTTTGTATATTATGATTTTATGATAATTATAATAATAGAAAAAAATATTTCGATAATAATAATTTAATAATTTTATTAACTTAATTTTTTTTTAATAATTTTATTAACTTAATTTTAATAATTTTATTCAACATATATATATATATGTGATACATAATTTTGTTAACATTTAACATACATATATATACCAACTTTCTTTATTATATCTTTTTATTTATAATACGATTGACAAGAAGATAAAATTCAATAAATATTCTATCAAAAATATTAAATTATTTTTAAATCATATTTTTTTATACAAAAAAATATCGAATCAAGTTTGATTAAAATAAATTATTTTTCTTTCTTATTTATCTTTGGTAATTTATAATCATATTAACTTAATTTATTAGAGGTAAGTAAATAAACATATTATTTTATTAACAAATTGACTGATTACAAATGTGTAAATATACATATAATATATACATTATTGCAAAAAAGAAAAAAAATATTAATATTTTTTTTTTTTCATTTATGATTTCATTAATAATTTTGAGCATAATATTGGAAGCTATTAAAAAAATGAAATTAACATTTAAATAAATGATTAAACTATTTTCTCCATTATACAAAATAATATTCATCTAAAATGTTTTCTAATTATTAAAAATAAATAGTTTTTTTTAAATATATTTTTATATATATAAAATTCCTAATTTTTTCGATAAATATAAGTGATAAATATGTAATATATGTGCAACCAATAATTATGTAAGCAAGTAAAAAAATTCATTAGACAAAGAAAATAGTAAGGAAAAGATATGGAATAAAATTAAATATTTAAATGAGTAAAAATAAATATTGATGATATTATGATTCAAATATTATATAAACATGAAATTATTCGTTTGGTAGATTATTCATCCATTTCTTTATTAATTAAAATATAATATAAAATTAAAAAAACAAATTAAAAAAGAAACGAAATGTTCAATGTGAGTAAATTTCGTATACTGACATATATAAATATTATGATGTGTAAAGAGAAGTAATGGAGCAATATATAATTAGCCTGTTTATTTCTAGAACAATTGGAATCTGAGTGCAATAACCTCGGAAGAAATCATTGACCAATAAATTACAGAATTATATATTTGTAGAATAGCTATTATTGATTGTAAATATAAGAATATATATAAATAAATAATAATAGTATATATTACTATTATATTACTATTATTATATCACTTATATAATATACATATTAATAATAATAAATATTTATAATTTTTAAAATTTTGTAATAATAATATTTTCAATATAAATTTTAGAGTATTTAAAATTTTAATATTAATTAGTTTTTTTTAATTGTTTTTTATCTTAGTTTAGAAACAAATTTACCAAAATTATAACTTTTGCATTAATTTGTTATTTAAAAAAATAATATAAGTGATAAAATTATATAATATAAATTCAAATATAACTTTTATGTAATATCAAAATTATATAGATAATGATATATAAATTAATTTTACATATATTCATATCTAATTAATTATATATATATATATAAAACTATCTAATTAATTTTTTTTAAGTGCATTTCACTTATTAACATATTTTTGTCATTATTTTGTGAGAAGATAACTTGTGTCATATGTTAATCAAAAATTTACAATTTGAATAAAAAAAATATATATTTCAAAAAAGATATATATTTATGATTTTATATTAAATGAAATTCATCATCAATAAAAAAAATAATATTAATGATGTTATAATTAATCATAAACAAAATGGTATAAATGCTATAAACATAAAATTTGATAAAAATAAATATAATAACATTTTAAGGTTATTAGATAAAATTATTAATATTAATTATTTGTAAATAATAATTGTTAATAATAATACTTGAAAACATATCCATTTTAAATAGACAATAGATAAGGCTATAGTTTTGTTACAGTATATTAATTTTTAAATTCATTTAAACATTCCTTAAATTAAGTTCTTATTTATAATATAATATTAAACATTGAAAAAATCTTATATTGTATTATAATAATATAATACAATATTTATATATTAATTATATAATTATGTTACATAATTAATATATAACAGATATATATATATAATATAACAGACATATATTTAATATTATAAATTTTTATAATATTATATAATATTTATAAATGCACTTTGTGTATTAAAAACTAAGAAATAATGAAATGGCTAAAAAAACGGCTAAAATCATAAAAAAAGAACATTAATCTTCAAATATATGTAAATTCAGTCATAAAAAAAATTTTTGTACAAACATTTGCACTTGCAAAATTTTTGATGGAGAAATGTCAAAATTATGCTCTTTCTCTTCTCTGTTACATGATGCATATACCAGAAAATATAATAAAAAAATAATAAGAATAAATTTTAAAAAAAGACTTTTTTTAAATTATTGATACACATTTTAAAGTAAATTCTAATTGATTGTTATATGATTTTTTTTTCATAAAGTTATGATATAAATATTAGCAATTTTTAACAAAATTCAAATGTTTGCTTATTTGTGAATAGAGATGCGTATGTATACTATCGATATTGATGAGTATAAATCCTACTAAAACTATTCTATTCATACTTTTATTATTAATTTATCAATAAATATTATTTATAAACTCTTCAAAAATATAATATACAATGCTTTTCGAAAATATTATAAACTTTTTCACCAAATAATATAATTCTTATTTATATAATAGATTTATAGTATAAGATTCCTTATAAATATATAAAAATGATAAAAGTTCAGAAAGTTCATTTGTGAAAATATTAATTTCCTTTAATGGTTTACATCCGAACAATATTAAATCATATTATATAAATTTTTATCGATTTTGTTTTTTAACTTCTCTTCAAGCTTAATTTTTCTTGACCTGGCTCCTTTTAGCATTCTATGATTCATTCATATTAATATCGCACTTAACATTATTGAAATCATGAGAAAATATTTCTTAATATAATAGTCAAAGAAAGGTGCTTTGCATGCATCTTGCATATGTCGCAAGTAAAAAAATTTTATTAGGAGATATTCTTTCATCTATAATTTATTTTAGAAATATATATTTGCGCGAGTAATAAATTAAAAGACGAAGAGTAGAAAGAATTGAAGAAGAAATTGATCTCTTTCGAATCCACAGAATGCAAAAATAAAATATGTAACGACTCTTGAATAATTACATTTATCGAAGTTATAACGATAGCGACATGAATTTTACTTTTAATATAGCAAGTTTGTGCAATTTCTTCTGCCATTACTACATAATCCTTATTACTAGTATTTCTTTCATTATTAATCATTATTAATCATTACTAGCTAGTTCTTTCATTATTAAACATTGACTGCGAATATACATGTAGAATGATCTATAATTCGTGAATGAAGTCAGAAGGATTTTATGATTCAAAATAAAAAGAAAATATAAAATAAATTTTTTTTTTATACTAAACTTTGTTTTTGAGCAAATCAAGTTTGAAAATTTTTGTATTTGAAAATTTTTCAATGAAATTAACTAATTTTTGGATAAATTATTATAAATGACGAATGAATTATTAATAAATTATTACTTTATATAAAAAAATAAAATAAAATAAAATTTGATTCTTAAATCCTCATTTTTGAAAAAGTCAAAACTGAATATATACCATTAAAAAATCGATCGAAATTATTCTATTATTATATATTATTCTATAGAAAATTAATTTATAAACGAAAAAAATATATTGTATATTTTTTGTTTTTTTCATATTTAGAAGTTTCTTAATATTAATATAAATTCTTAATATTAATATTTCTTAATATTATTCTTAATATTAATATAATAATTATTAATAATTCATCATATGTTATAAGAAATTAATTAATTTCATTTGTATTTGAGAAATTTTTACTCGAAAACGAAACTTCTTATACAATTTCATTTTTAATTTTGTATTAAAAATTATGTGTCTTAAATAATCTATTGCAATTGAAATTAAAATTAAAAATATATCAATGATGTTATAAATACAAAATAATATATTTAAATATAGCAAAATCATTATTACTTTGCAATAATTTAAATTTTCTTACAATTCTTTTTATAGAAAAGTTTATTTACGCTTGTTCATATCGAATGCATTTTATTCAGTTAGCTTTTGTAGCTTCATGAATAATACATGCCTTTTTCTTTACGATAAATTCATATCTTGATTTTATCCGTATTCTATGTACGATAGCGAACTGTTCTATAACAAACACTTTTTCAAATTTCTTCGATTATTTAAATTTTCAAAATAAAGATATACATATTTTAATAATGTTACAGCATTCTTTGCGATATTTAAATATTTAAATATCTCCATTATTTTTAGTTATAATTTTTTGAAAAAAATATTCAGAACAAAATTACATTATTTCAAGAGGGAAATTCGATTATGATAAAAAGAATTTTTCTCCTTTTTATAAATTTTCAGCTTTATCAATGATTTCATTCCAATTATTTAATCTGAAAAAAATATTATATTATATTACTATTAATCATATATCAAATTATTATGTATTGTAATTATCATTA